TTCTCAACGGTGCCATGCGCCCTTGAACTCTGTCTTCAAAAGTTTATTTCACTTGCTCCTTGCGGTGTGGTGCGTGTTGACCATCCACGGTATAATGCAGGTATAATGTAGTCTTAGGAGTTTATAACCCGCCTTGGGCTGCGTACCTAAGCAACTGAACCCCCAGGGAAAACCCTGCCCATTGCCCCAGGACCTATGTAACTTCCACTCCCCGGGGCTGGGGCAGATGGCCCGGCAGGAGGGATCAGGGATGGGGTCTACTGGACCCCAGGTGTCAGGTTCTCCGTGGGGCAGGAATTCGGCCTGGGGACCTTCCTGGTCCACCTAGGGAATCGTAAGTTTCACCGCGCTACTATGCTTTGTTTGACTCAGCGGCGCCAAGTCTGGCCTGAGGGTCTGACTTAAGGTCTGTTCTGGGAGGGGAGGGCGTAGAGGGCGGGCAGCGCGCGCCTTCTGCGGAGGTGCGAGAAGGGGACCTGGAAGACTACGAGGGACCAAAGAGACCTGACTGCACTGTGTCCAGGAAGAGGCAGCCTCCGGGTGCTGATGGACTTGAGGGCTGTGGGAGGGGAAGCTGAGGGGGCCGCTGTTCCGTGGGCCGCGCAGTAGAGCAGCGAAAGTCAGGAGTGGCCGGTGGCACCAGCGCCCCCGTCTTTTCCCCACGCCGGCACTGGACACTCGCGGGGACGCAGGAGCCGCCAGAGCCCAGGATCCGCACACTGGAATCCTGGAAGGCCCCGGGAAGAGGCCGGAGGGAAGCGACGCGATGCCCGATCCCCTGGGGCGGATGGAAGGGCTGAGGGCGCAGGAGCTGTGATTGTATACCTATAAATGCCAAGGTTTTAGTTAACGAACTGGGGTTGTTTCAGGGAAGGTGGGGGTGGGTTGGAGGGAGCAGATTATTCCAAATATACTTTTTTTTTTTTTTTTTGAGGCAGAGTCTCGCTCTGTCGCCGAGGCTGGAGTGGAATGGCACGATCTCGGCTCACTGTACCTCGGCCTTCCAGGTTCAAGCGATTCTCCTGCCTCCTGAGTAGCTGGGATTACAGGCGCCCGCCACCACGCCTGCCTAATTTTTATATTTTTAGTAGAGATGGGGATTCACCATGTTGGCCAGGCTGGTCTCGAACTCCTGGCCCCAGGTGATCCGCCTAGCCTCGGCCACCCAAAGTGCTGGGATTACAGGCGTAAACCACCGCGCCCGGCCTGAACATAGTACTCTTTCGTTGATCTGGCTCACGTGCAAATTCTTAGTGTTCCCCATGCAGAGGGCTGGGGAGAAGAAAATCCGAATCCCTCACAACACCGCCCCAGCCTTCTCCGCTAAGCTGCGCTTTCTCATTTTCCACTGTGGCTTCCCATACATTTCTCCTTAGGAGACTCCATAGCCTGAGGGAGGTGAATTTTCCCGAATGAGAAGAGGATTATTTACGGACCCCGTGGTGGCATCTGTTTCTATGCTGTTTCGTTTACTTTTACACTTCCCTCCGAATAGCTGCATTACAAAAGGGAAAGAACTCTTAGTCAATCCCAAACCACAATAAAAGGATAGTAAAAAAAACTATACTGGTCGCTACACCTGACAACTGCTGAAATAGGATCCATCTAAAACACAAAAAACTTATTCTTTCAAGACCTCGTGGCGCAACGGTAGCGCGTCTGACTCCAGATCAGAAGGTTGCGTGTTCAAATCACGTCGGGGTCAAACATATAATCATCCCTTTCTTTAGCCACTAGGAGTTATATAGACGTCTTGCCACTAACTCTCAACCTTGGACACTGTATTTTCTGTTCTTTAGCCCTAAAGATTTCTTTGCGTAGGTACTTCAGCAGTGGACCAGCACCTTAGCTAAAGTGTGAGGAAAAATTCAGAGCCAATATTTAGGTCGTGCTGTTCACATCTGTAGCAGGATTTATCGGGACTGTGCTTCAGATAGTACATTCACAGGACTTCAGATAGGACCTTAAAACAGTGCAGGAGGAGCACTTTGGGAGGCTGAGGCGGGCGGATTGCTTGAGCCCAGGAGTTCAAGACCAGCCTGGGCAACGTAGCAAAACTGTCTCTCAAAAAAGCAAAACAAAACAACAAAAACAAAAATAACAACACCAGATGTGGTCGCACATACCTGTAGTCCCAGCTGTTGCTTAGGAGACTGAGGCGGGAGGATCCCTTGAGTGCGGGAGGTTGAGGCTGTAGTGAGCTAACATTGTGCCACTACACTCCAACCTGGGTGACAAGGTGAGACGCTGTCTCTAACTGAAAAAATAAATAAAACGGTTCAGAGCTCAGGAAATAGTTGCCTTCCCAATCCAAAAACTACCCGCCCACCCTGAAGGGGCTGCTGTCCTTGGAAAAGCGTTGGTGGTGCAGCCTGATCTCCAGCATTTGAAGTTCAAGCGCCACTAGGACAAAGCTTTATTCAAAACAAACGAGGAGGAAGTCAATAGTCTTCCCCCAGCGGCTCCTACAGGACTGCGCTGGCCTGACCTGTCATCTGGCTCCCTCCCCACGTTTGTATTCCTGGAACGACCTGCTGGACTGAGTTCCTTGTCCTCTGCCTAGAGGTGGCCAGGCCTGACCTCACTGCTTTCCCTATGTTCAAATGTTTCGAACCTGGAGCACTGAGTGTTTCCGTTTTCTGTTAAAGCAAACAGGAGTCAGGCGGGATGGCTCATGCCTGTAATCCCAGAACTTTGGGAGGCCGAGATGGGAGGATCGCTTGAGCCCAGGAGTTCGAAACCAGTCTGGGCAACACGGCAAGATCCCATCTCTTGTATTTTTAATTAATTAATTAATTAAAGGATAGTAAAAAAAAACTATACTAGTCACTACACCTGACAACTGCTGAAATAGGGTCCATCTAAAGCACAAAAAATTTATGTTTCCAAGACCTCGTGGTGCAATGGTAGTGCATCTGACTCCAGATCAGAAGGTTGTGTGTTCAAATCACGTCAGGGTCACAGCTGTCGCCCAGGCTGGAGTACAATGGTAGAGTCTATTTACAGAGTCTCACTCTGTTGCCCAGGCTGGAGTACAATGGCACATTTTATTTATTTATTTGTGAGACAGAGTCTCACTCTGTCTCCCAGGCTGAAGGACAATAGCACAATTTTGGCTCACTGCAGCCTCCGCCTCCTGGGTTCAAGCAATTCTCCTGCCTCAGCCTCCTGAGTAGCTGGGAGTACATACTCCTGCCACCATGTAATTTTTGTATTTTAGTTGAGACGGGGTTTCACCATGTTGACCAGGCTGGTCTCAAACTCCTGATCTCAAGTAATCTGCCTGCCTTGACCTCCCAAAGTGCTGGAATTACAGGCGTGAGCCACTGTGCTCGACCAACACACATATGTTTATTGCAACACTATTTACAATAGCAAAGACATGGAACCAACCCAAATGCCCATCAATGGTGTACTGGATAAAGAAAATGTGGTACATACACATCATGGAATACTAAGCAGCCATTAAAAGGAATGAGCTCTTGTCCTTTGCAGGGACATGGATGAAGCTGGATGTCATCAGCCTCAGCAAACTAACACAGGAACAGAAAACCAAACACAGCATGTTCTCATTCACAAGTGGGAGATGAATACTGAGAACGCATGGACACAGAGAGGGTAACAACACACACCTGGGCCTGTTGGGGAGTCCCAGGTAACGGTAGGGAACTTAGAGCACGGGTCAATAGGTGCAGCAAACCACCATGGCACATGTAACAAACCTGCATGTTCTGCAGATGTGTCCTGTTTTGGTTTTTTTGAGACAGAGTCTTGCTCTGTCACCCAGCCTGGAGTGCAGTGGCTGGCTTGATCTCAGCTCACTGCAAGCTCCGCCTCCCGGGTTTATGCCATCCTCCTGCCTCAGCCTCCGGAGTAGCTGGAACTACAGGTGCCCGCCACCTTGCCCGGCTAGTTTTTTTTTTTTTTTTTTTTAGTAGAGACAGGGTTTCACCGTGTTAGCCAGGATGGTCTCAATCTCCTGACCTCATGATCCGCCCCTCTCAGCCTCCCAAAGTGCTGGGATTACAGGCTTGAGCCACCGCGCCCGGCCTGTTTTGTTTTAGAAGAAGTAAAAAACAAACAAACTTGGGAGGCCCGAGGCAGGCTGATCACTTGAGGTCAGGAGTTCAAGACCAGCCTGGCCAACATGGTGAAACCCCATCTCTACTAAAAACACACACAAAAAAGTAGCCGGGCATGGTGGCCAGCGCCTGTAGCCCCAGCTACTGAGGACGCTGAGGCAGGAGAATGCCGTGAACCCGGGAGGAGGAGCTTGCAGTGAGCCGAGATTGCGCCACTGCACTCCAGCCTGGTCAACGAAGCCAGACTCCCTCTCAAAAAAAAAAAAAAAAAAAGGAAAAATTAACTCCTTACTCACATTAAAATTGTATTTTGGGGTAATTTACATAAGTCACACAATTATCTCTTTAATTAAAATCTAATATTCTTTTTTTTTTTTTGAGGTGGAGTCTCGCTCTGTCGCCCAGGCTGGAGTGCAGTGCCGGGATCTCGGCTCACTGCAAGCTCCGCCTCCCGAGTTCAAGTGATTCTCCTGCCTCAGCCTCCCGAGTAGCTGGGACTACAGGCGCGCGCCACCACGCCCTGCTAATTTTTTTTTTGTATTTTTGGTACAGACGGGGTTTCACCATGTTGGCCAGGATGGTCTCAATCTCTTGACCTCGTGATCCGCCCGCCTCTGCCTCCCAAAGTGCTGGGATTACAGGCGTGAGCCACCGCGCCTGGCCCATTTTTCTTCCTTCCTCTGATAACCTTTCTCCCCTCCACAAACACACAGCCAAAGAAACGAATTGTGTCGCTCCTGAATCATAGAATAATTGTAAATTATGTTGTGATTAAATAGGAGGGGCGGGGCCCTGTCCGTCACGTGACTCTCCGGGTGCTGTCTGCGGCCGTTGATTGGTCTGGGCGGGAGGGCGGCCGTCGATTGGTCCGGGCCCACTCGCGCGGGCGCCACTCTCTTTGTCTGACCAGAGAGTCGCGAAGCCTCCGCGGTCCTAGAGGGGCCGCTGTCAGGGACGCTTCGCTCGGCGAGCGCAGGTGGAGCCAGCGAGAGCCTCTGAGGCTGCCAGGGTGGTTGTGCCCGTTGCTCGGGCAAGGGGTGGTTCGCCGAGGGGCGCGGACCAGACAGACCCCGGGTCGGGCCTGGGCACCTCGAGAAGAGAGCCCAGCCCCGCCGCCGCACCTGGTGGAGGCGGCGCGGCGGAGATTCGGAGGCATCAGCAGGTTTGGGAAGAAGGAAGCGAGTGTTGTGGGGGGCGTGGGTGCTTGGGGGAGGCCACTCCGGAGAGCCCCGGCTCTCAGGGGACGCTCCCGGGCCTGTGCGGCAGCTCTCGGGACCCGTGGCACCGGCTTTTGAGTATTTTCGGCGGTGTCAAAGTCTTAAGCAGCGAGAGGAGCAAAGTCCGAAGAATGAATGGCTGGTGAACGCCGGGGCTTGGTTTTGTTAGACTGGGAGATGAGCCGTGGTTGTTAGTGGAAAGTGTTCACGTGATTGTGAAGAAGCGGCATTTAGGAATTTCTCAAAAGTTAACAATCCCGTCCAGTTAAAGTTTTGAGTTTATTGTGCATGCAGAGGAACAGCTGGGAAATTGTTCCTATGGCAGCTTAGAAAGCTAAATGAGGAAGTGCAGTGATCTTGATTGTAATTGGCCATTATCAACTTGCATTCCTTCTAGGGTAAGTCGAGCTGGATCAGCCTTGCATCTGTAGCTGATTGGTTCCGTTGGACTAGAAAAAAAGCTTCCTTCCTGGTCAGCGCACACTTTTCAGGGAAATAAGGAATTGTTGTTGCTGTTGTTGTTTTTGAAGCGATGTGTCACTTTGTTGCCCGAGCTGGAGTACAGGCAACCTCCAACTCCCGGGTTCAAGCGATTCTCCTGCCTCAGCCTCCCGAGTAGCTGGGACTACAGGCACGCGCCACCATGTCCGGCTAATTTTTGTATTTTTAGTAGAGATGGGGTTTCACTATGTTGGCCAGGGTGGTCTTGAACTCCTGACCTCGTGATCCGCCCGCCTCGGCCTCCCAAAGTGCCGGGATTTACAGGCGTGAGCCACCGCGCCAGGCCTGTTGTTTTTAAGAGAGACAGGGTCTCGCTCTGTCACCCAGGGTGGAGTGTAGTGGTGCCATCATAGCTCACTGCAGTCTCCAACTCCTGAACTCAAGGGAGAAATCAGTGTATTTTAAATGCCTTATGTGGCTGTGGGTGGTTGGCCTAGGGCTATACCCAAAACATGGCCTCCATTTAATTTTTCATTAGCAAGTCTGACATCCAGAGCCTTCAAAAACAGATGTTCAATAAATACAGTGCAGGGTTGTCCAATCTCTTGGCTTCCCTGGGCCACATTGGAAGAAGAATGGTCTTGGGCTACACATAAAATACACAAACACTAAAAATAGCTGATGAGCAAAAAAAAAAAAAATTTGCAAAAAAATCTCGTAACGTTTTAATACAGTTTACAAATTTGTGTTGGATTGGATTCAAAGTCGTCCTGGGCCACATGCGGCTCACAGGCTGAGGGTTGGACAAGTTTGGTATAGAGAATGAAAGGGATGTGGCCTCTGCCCCAGCCTGGGAGCCACAGATCAGGATACTTTTTAGGGTGTACCTTTTTGAAGAGGCAGAGGGTCCACCCTGGGCAACATAGCAAGACCCTATCTACAAAAAAACTACAAACAGCTGGACGTGGTGGTGCATTCTTGCACTCCCAGCTACTTAGGAGACTGAGGCAGAAGCATTGCTTAAGCCCAGGAGTTCCAGGCTACAGTGAGCCATGATTACACCACTGCACTCCAGCATGGGTGATAGAGGGAGACTCCTCAAAAAAAAAAAAAAAAAAGGCCGGGATCGGTGCTCACGCCTGTAATCCCAGCACTTTTGGAGCGAACGGCGCGGATCACGAGGTCAGGAGATTCGAGACCCATCCTGGCTAACAGGTGAAACCCCGTCTCTGACCTAAAAAAAATACAAAAAAGTTAGCGCGGCGTCGGTGGTGGCGCCTGTATACCAGCTACTCGGGAGGCTGAGTGCAGAGAGTGGCGTGAACCCGGAAGTGGAGCTTCAGTTGAGCCAAGATCGCGCCACTGCACTCTAGCCTGGGTGAGCAGACGAGACTCCTGTCTCAAAAAAAAAAAAAAAAAAAGAAGGCAAATGCATGTTCTAAACTGTGTTTTCAGGAAGGTGAACTGTGTTTGAGGGGCATCCATTAAAATGAAAGTGAATTTTCATTAAATTCACCTTAGAAAGCAAGTGTAGGGCCGAGTGGCGTGGCTCACGCCTGTAATCCTAGCACTTTGGGAGGCTGAGGTGGGTGGATCACCTAAGGGCAGGAGTTCAAGACCAGCCTGACCAACATGGTCGAAGCCCATCTCAACTAAAAATACAAAAAAATTAGCTGGGCATGGGTGGCGGGCACCTGTAATCCCAGCTACTTCTGAGGCTGAGGCAGGAGAATGGCTTGAACACCGGGAGGCGGACTAGCAATGAAGTGAGATCCGCCTGCACTCCAGCGCTGGGCCACAAGCCGAGATTCGCGTCTCAAAAAAAAAAAAAAAAAACCAAACAGGCTGGGACGGTGGTGATTCTGTATCCCAGCTACTTAGGAACTGAAGGCAAGAAGATTGCTTAAGCCAGGATTCGAGGTACAGTGAGCCCATGATTACACCACTGCACTCCAGCATGGTGGTGATAGGGGAGACTTCAAAAAAAAAGAAAAAAAACAAACAAAAATAAGCCCGGCGCGGCGGCTCACGCTGATAATCCCAGCACCTTTGGGAGGCTAAGGCGGAATCATCTGAGGTCAGGAGATTGAGACCATCTGGTACAGGTGAAACCCCGTCTGCTACTAAAATACAAAAGTTACCGGGCGTGGTGGGCGCGCCTGTATCCAGACTACTCGGGGAGCTGAGCAGCAGGGTGGCGAACCCGGAAGGCGGAAGGCTGAGTGAGCAAGATCAGCTCCCTGCACCCAGCCTGGGTGACAGGAGCCAGACTCTGTCTCAAAAAAAAAAAAAAAAAAAAAAAAAGGCAAAGCGTGTTCTAAACTGTGTTTTCAGGGAGGTGAACT